AATAGGAAGATAAATTTATTTGTTTTCATAAGGTAACCTCATCCAGATGAGTCATAATTTGAATTCTACTTGAGAAGTCATATAGACATGGAAGACTTTGGCACTAACAAACTAAAGTAACCTTTTAATTATGGCTTAAATCTGGTTTTAATTCTGGTTTAAGACAATGTCTTTGCTATTTTTCCTAAAACGTCTTCTCTATATTCACAGATACAGTCCTCATGCTGCAGGTAAGGTGCAGGAAAACCACATAATTGCCCCCAAGCTGGTCCAGTGATCCAGTTTGCTTGCTAAGCTCAGCCGGAGATCCCAGTTCAGTCAATTTGCTGAGGCCCCTGAAAAGTTTCCTGTGGACAAGAATGCAGTTACCTTTGGTGAGGTCAGTATCTCCTCTTCTTAACAACCTGATGATTATTCAAGCCACCTCAGGGTACCTGCTTGTCCCCACTCTGTGTGGGCAGCTGACCTGGGAGGCCTGGATCTTGGAGTATATATCAAGTGTTTAATGCAGAGATGCTACTTTCTGTTCACTCTGAGCACAAGTTGTGTACTAACCTGATGGGAAACTTCGCTTCGATATTGTCTACGAGGTTACTGGAAGAAGATTTTGACTTGTATTCATTTTGAAAGTCAGAATGAGATCCAGTCCTGACAGCCCGCCATGAAAAACACAGCCCTGTGTCTTACCCAGCTGCTATTTCATGCATAACACAGTGTGCTGCCTGATTTTAGAAATTACTCAACAGGAATGAATTTGGGAGTTCGAACAACATGGTAAAGGTCGGTAAGCAAACTCCCTTAAGAGGCATAGAAAAATATTTTACAAATAAAGTGCAAAAATCATTTGCTGGGTTTCTCTGTCCATCTCTCACACACATATAAACAAATGCCTGAATAATCTTTATGTTCTTACTATTACTTAATATTAAGTGTAGATAGAAGCCACTCATATAAACAGTAGTGTTTTACAAAGGAACTTTTGTAATGGCATCTATCATATAGCCATAATAGAGACTGTAGTAAAAAACCTACATTGTTTGCATGGAGTCAACAAAAATGATTTACATGCTCACACCATTACACAGACTGCAATGAGAAACACCGTACAAAGCCTAGGACTGAATCTAGACTAAAAAATCTTAATTATCAGTTTGCAAACTTTTCTGCCATCACAAAAAAATTTCTGTAAGTTCAACTAAGATGATCTCCTCCACAAATTAAGGGGTTAACAGCATTTCTGCCTTTGCTATTAACATCTGAGGAGGAGGTAAACAAAGTTCATCAGATAACTGCTTTCAGACAAGCAAACAGTTTTTTTCTCATGTGAACAACAAACAATTTGTTTTATTGTTGTAGAAAAGTAAAAGTGGCAGAACCAGAAATCTTCTTTCCAAAGATTAACTTTAGGAAAACCAGATTTTATCCAGCATGGAATAAAATACCACTTTTCACCACTTCCTAATGACTGTAAATAAACAGAAATGCTGATTCTGTTACATTTTAGGCCAGTTTATTATTGCCTCTTTGCTGTTCTCAAGATGTCAGTTTCTTTGAGACTTCTTGTATATGACTTTTAGTGACTCTCCCCATTTTTCTCTTCCTAGGAATTTTATTTCTTGTGCTATTGTATAAAGTTTTGTTCTTTCTTCAATATTTTCTTTCTCTTTTTCCCTTATCTCTTACTTCCCACTATTTCTGAGCTCCCTAGAACAAACACCATCTTTCTTACCTTTTTATTGTCTTTGAAAAAGTCCATGCCATATAATTTCTCTAAAATTTTTCTGTATTTCTGTATTTGTGTTCCCACAATTAGCATTTACAAATATTGGTATTTCCCACACCATGCACTGTGTTGAAACAGTATCCTAACAATGAAATATATTATGACCGATGCAGCAGATTTTAGAAACCTTGGAAGTAGACCATCTATGGCTTAATCTCTGTGTCTCTTTCCCCAGTTAAATCATCCAGCAGAAATGGGTAGGGAAGACTTATTCTGTATTTAATTCCTAGCAAATTATTACCATTTCATACACCATATTTTTTGCCTTGCTGCTTTTGTCCTAATGGTAAAGTAGAAATACTGCTGTTACTAGGAGCAGTTTCTGAACTCCGAACAGTGTCATCACCAATGTTTGATTAAAAATTCAGATTTTGATGAACTGGTTCCTTTTCCTGGGAAACAATACTTATCAGACATGGAAAGGAGTGGAAATGTATGTGAGTGTGTGAGATGCTGACTCTAATCAGATTTTTTGCCTGTGGCTAATGGAAGATTCGCCAATTACATGATGACAAATATTTCAGGTCCATTCAGCAATGTACACTTTTATGTAATCACAATCTCACCATTAGATCTGTATCTCTAGCATTGTCTGTTCCAATTAATTTTCTTACTCTGTACACCCCATATGCCCCATTTGTTCTACAGTAACCATAACCTCTTGCATTCTCAGTATCATGCCTTATAAGAATAAAAGCCTGGTACTTGAAATGTCTCCCTCTCACTGCTGGCTACTTATAGCTGTTAAGATGTCCTTAGAATATTTTCAACTGACAATTCTGTCTTCCACATCATCTTCACCAGTAAGCTCTGTACTAACCCACTCCCTGGACACTCCACGCTTCCTCTCACTTCATGCATCAAATAATTCCTAATCCTCTCTTCTGCTACTGATGATATGAAAACCAGTGAAACTCCACTGCTTAGAAACAGGATGAACACTGAAGAATCAGCCCACTCTTTGTAAAGTGCCATATAAAATCAAGATACAAATCACTCCATAATAAAGGCACATCCTGTGACACGAAACATGTCTCGTATTTTAATGTCCTATGATTCACTGGAAAGTCACTTAAATCAGTGAGCAACACAGGGATCTTCCTGTGAACTGCCAAAGGAATCCTCCAAGAAAGATTAAGAAGTTGATAACTATGCAAATGTATCTATATATGTAAACCCCCTGATTTCCTATTTGCTTTTTCTTTATTAAAAGAAGGATGTTCCCCATGAGGCTTACTACTTTTTAATGAATGTTTTAGGAAAGGGAGCCATTCATGAAGAAACTATATATTTCATTGCAAGGTGCTCTAACATCTGTCACTCAGTTAAATTAAAACAAGGACGTTTTCACGTTAGTCTCCATAGGATGATAAACCAGTCACTTATCAGCAGTTTAGCACCCAGCACTTGGCAGGATTAATTTGATCTCAATCTACATGAAAGATGTAGTGGTTATCATATCATGAACACAGTTCAAACCCACACATCGTTCATTCATTTGTGATCAGATGGGAACCGGTTTCAGTGATCTCATACTGATTTGTGAAACCTCCTATCAACATGTCTGGTCATTCCTCCGATTTTTAAAAGGTTGGCAGTAAAGTTGGCTTTGGAGTTGGTTTTCAGGCACGTAGGAAAAAAAGAAAAAAGAAAAAAGAAAAAAAAAAACACCCCCCCCCCCCCCCCAACTTTGGGAGAAAGCCAGAGTTTTCTTGGAAGTTTCCTTGATGAAGGAGTAGGAGTGGGATAGAGCAATATCCTTGATTTTGGCAGCAAACCGTTCTTCTGGCAACTTCATTAAAAAGCCATTCCACTTTATGAGTTATCAGTAAAGAGCTGGCATTTCTGAGCGTGACTGATGGTCCTCCCTGTGCTGACGAAATTAGAAACATCAATAATTCTTAGATTAATTGCTCAGAAAATTTCCAAGAGGCAAACATTTCTTTATTTTTAGACCCTTGTTTTCTGCTGTAGTCAAAGCAGTAAAGGTCAAAGTTCATTCAACATGTACTTCACTTAAATACTATACTCTTGAGTTTTATACGTGCTCAGAAACAAGTGTGCATCAGTGCTGTGTGTGCGTGGGTATCCTCTGGTGATCCCCAATTCCCAGTCCCTGCATAAATCTTGATTTATCTCACAGAGACCTGGAAGAAGTCTTCTTGACCATGTATCTGTATATCCTTCCAAAGGAGCCTGGAACATGGCATATTGGGGCTTCTAACAGGAACATGAGTGCATGGAGGACAATTCATGCTCCACGGTGGTGGCTGAGCCATAAAGAACTTTCGCATGTGGCTAGCGAGTGGTAAAACACCTATGTTGGCCAAAAGGTGAGGATCCGCTCTGACAGTGACATGGTCTGCTTCAGTCCTGACACAACAGTTGTTGTAGCCACCCCAAGGATGAAGTTGAACGTTGGGGAGCTGCTTTAAAATGATGAAAGTCTTATTGCTTAGATTTTCCTGTTGCTTATGCAGGGGGAAAAAAAGGTGTTTTGAAACAAGTTTTGCATACCCTTCTCCACCCACTGCTAAGATATGCATCTGTAAATCACATAATAGGTTTGCTTTCTGACTGGAGGTCTATAATTAGCATTCTCAGAAGGCCCCACATGCTGCCCATTTGGAGTGTAGGTAGTCCTTGATGTCACAATCCTTGTGCATCATAGAATCATGGAATAGTTAGGATTGGAAAGGACCTTAAGATCATCTAGTTCCAACCCCCCTGCCATGGGCAGGGACACCTTGCACTAAACTATGTCGCTCAAGACTCTGTCCAACCTGGCCTTGAACACTGCCAGATCATTCACAACTTCCTTGGGCAACCCATTCCAGTGCCTCACTACCCTCACTGTGAAGAACTTCTTCCTTATATCTAATCTAAACTTCCCCTGTTTCAGTTTGAACCCATCTCCCCTTGTCCTACCACTACAGTCCCTAATGAAGAGTCCCTCCCCAGCATCCTTGTAGGCCCCCTTCAGATACTGGAAGGCTGCTATGAGGTCTCCACGCAGCCTTCTCTTCTTCAGGTTGAACAGCCCCAGCTTCCTCAGCCTGTCTTCATATGGGAGGTGCTCCAGCCCACTGATCATCCTTGTGGCCCTGCTCTGGACTTGCTCCAGCAGCTCCATGTCCTTTTTACGTTCAGGACACCAGGACTGGACACAATACTCCAAGTGAGGTCTCACAAGAGCAGAGTAGAGGGGCAGGATCACCTCACCTCCTTCGACCTGCTGGTTATGCTTCTTTTGGTGCAGCCCAGGATACAGTTGGCTTTCTGGGCTGTGAGCACACACTGAAGCCAGCTCATGTCAAGCTTCTCATCAACCAAGACCCCCAAGTCCTTCTCTGCAGGGCTGCTCTGAATCTCTGCCCAACCTGTAGGTGTGTCCTCACCCTCTTTTGCACGATATGGACAGAAAAGGATAAATAGAGCAGAACCGCATGAGAATGCTTTAAAAACACTGCTAAGAAGCTGTATTTGTGAAGAAAGGTCTTCATAAATCTTTTGTTTGACCACCTAATGAGGTGAAGATAAGTGGACTCTCACAGGTTGCCTGCAAATTAATCATTGTTAATGCACTACAAACAAAACAGAAAAGGGTAATTAGCATGTCTGGAGCAAAGTGGGATATTAGTGGAGGGGGAGGTGACCATTAACCTCCACAGAGCAGGTGACAGGCAGGCAGTTAGTACCTGAAAAGCAGTGGATTAGCAGGTGTGGTGAAAGGTGTATTGCACTGGGCCACAAATTGTACCAAACCTGAGACTGGTTTAGACACCTCAGACTCATTTTAAAGATTTTATATAGGCCTTCTCTTTAGGATTAGGACTTCAAGGCTGGTATTAGAGTGGCCGTTTTACAAATGAACATTTTCCTAATCATGATTATACATATTTGTAGTTCTCAATTGTCCATATGAGCTGATAGTGACTAGCATACCTTATGCAGCTTCACCTTCTTCATTATAAAGGCAGCAGATGATGGATTAGAAGATACCTGTCGACAAACATGCATGAATCCTGCTGATTTTGAAGACCTTGGGGGCTTTGGCTAGGTCTGATTTCATCTGATGGTTCTTGGTTCATGGGATAATTGACTTCTGCTGATGAACTGGGTGACGTTGGACGCTACTTGAAACTAAGTGGAAGACCTCAAGAAAAAACTTATTTCCAGGTGTGACCAGCCCAGGCTGAAATTCTGTAATGATTTCTCCATGTAGATACTTGTGAAACTGCCCAGTATAAGCTAAAGGTGCATTCTGCTTTTTCATAGTATATAAACTAATAAAAGTGTTTTCTCCCTTATAAATCTCTCACACTCTTAAACCACTGTAGTGACAATGCCTGTATTGCACTATATGGGCAGGTATAGCCATGCACACATGTATTGACTTGTCTAATTCTTGATTGATGACAATAAAGTACAGCATGAAGAAACAAGAAGGCAACTTCTGAATGTTGTAACAGATCTAAACAGACACCTCACAGCCAAGCAGATGCTCAGTTTTTCCAGCATCTTATCAGTTAAGAGGTTTGAGTTGTCCATCTATGCACACATGCAGGGGATTTTTTTTCTTCTGCCCAAGACAGAAGGCAGAACTGGACTGACCAGGCCAAACACATAGCAGCAACTTGAGGACATACCAAATGCCCTCTGCACCCAGCAGCATATAGGGCCTTACAGTGAGCAGTGCATGAGCTATCCAGTTGCCCTTGGACTTACAAGCATGGACATCCTGGTATTTTACACATTTCACTTACTTAGAATCTAATTTTACTCTTTCTTAAATAAATGTCAGTCTTTTTAGGCACAGCTTTAAAGTGGGCCCAAAGTAAACAAGGAAAGATTCAGGAAAGATTGGGCAGTTCAGGTTTATCATTAAATTATTTGTTCGTCAGAATACACATGAGATGCTCAAAGTAGCCTCTGTATATAGTAGCTGGGCTGGAGAAAAGGTGAAAGGAGCTATATTTTGAAAATAAAAAAATCCTACATTTGATAGAGGTTTGATAAAACCCTAGGATGATTCCATCTCTCACTTTTGACTCATTGTATATATAACTGCTGAATTAGCAACATACTAATAGTCACAGAGTTGAAGAAACAGTTTATTTAAATTTGTTTAATCTTCCTGTGTTACATATACACACATTATACACAAAGCACAGGCTGTTTTCTCCAGTACTGTTGCCAGATCTAACACCCAGATTTAAGCAAAGCAATTAATTGGTGCAAAGAGGGATAAAAATACCATCACTGAAATCAACAGTATGTTTTTTCCTAAAAAATGAAATACGTGAACTTTGAAAGTTGTCTCAAACAAAAAAGCCTTATTCTATTGGGTTTTTCTTTCTGCAGAAGTCCATCTCGGCAGATTATCACTCTTGTCTCCATTGAAAGGCCACTTGCGAAACTACATTTTTCATCTGGGAGTTCTGTAGCTCTTATATATTCCAAACCTATTCATTTACAAAGCTAGCTGAGATCAAAAGCGTATTTAATTAAAATTTGACTGAAAAGTGTCTAGAATATCTCATTCACAAACTATGGTTCCTCCATGAGATGATCTCCTAGAAACACACCGAGACCCTACTGAAAGGTGTATCATAATCACCATGGAACAAGGATGTCTAGATAAATCTTACTATTTCTGAGAAAGACACATAGATTGGATTGTTCAAATAGGAAACTCTCCACATATTTACTGTGTGAGATAGTCACAGACCCATACTCAAGTAAATGTGCAAAGTTGCACTTGATGGAACGACAATATGTGCAAATCCCCTTATACGCTCACACACAGAAACACTCAAACTATTTTGCAGGGGAGAGTTGTGGTGCAATGCAGGGGAGGTTCCACCAGTTTGCAAGTAAAGACTCTACATTTGAGCAAGCACTGAAAAAAAGGCTCAGGGGTGCACAGCTCTGGAATTAAAAGTGTATTCCCTATCTCCAAAGAGATCTTCCTTACTCACAAAGAGAACCCGCTCTTGAATTTCTGCAACTAGTTTCTAAGGTATGTCACCAACATGAGACATAAAGGAAAGACAGATCTTGCTGCAGTAATATGTGTGGTCTCATTATATGGAAATAGGTGCAAGGTAGAAGAATTGAGAGATGAAAGCACAGATCACTGAAATTTCAACTTTTCCAAGTATTTGACTTCGAAAATTTAGCTTTATCTTTTGATGTAATCTATGTATATGTACAGGTATGAACTATGTATCTACAATATATATATGCGTGCATATGTGTGTGTGTATATATATATAATATTAGCTTAAATAATGCAGAAAGATGCACACAGAAGCACAAGAGGACAAAACAGGACACCCCCTGATTAGGTTACCAGGTAGGTTAGTATAAACAAGAGTGTGGATCAGGCTGCAGAGGTGGGATGCCAGATGGAACTGTGGATGACTTGAGGACAGAACCAAATGGGTTATTCAGATGTGCTAGACATGGCAGACCTGAGGTCAGCCATCAGAGCTGCTTTGCACAGGACTGACTGCACCTTCGTGTGACCTTGGTGCTGCAGGCCTGCTGAGCTGCTGCAGTGAGAGATGTGACCAGTCAAGCATGGAGTGTGAAGCAGATGTTGGAAGCTGGGCACTTGCTTTTTCCACTACTGCAAACTAAAAATGTGCCTTAAGTAAGGGATTGCCTGAAAATGTGCTGCCTACTGAATAGACCCTCTCCTGCTCCCTCTCTTGCTCCATGGAGATTTTGTTTCTGCTCCATGTGGGTAACATTATTTCTGTCCTACACCAACTCCGTCAGGCTAGGTATCACGGTATTAAGTTTTCACCAAGTTATTTAGGATATGTCCTTAGCATTACTACTGTTGTAGAAAGAATCCATTCCTAAAGCCCTAAGCTCAAGCTGTCTATCAGCTGGACTCACTACCACCAGGGAAATGACACTACCTCTGAGAAACAGGTGAATGGGAAGAAGTGTAGGAAACTGAGTTTTAGATAGACGACAGTACCCTGTAGGCATGAAATAACGAAGGGATACATTTAATTACAGGAATTACGTAGACAAAGGCAAGTTTTTACAGCATCAAAATGGATTGCAACCTAACAAAATAATTGCATAGCCAAAAATAAATGCAAAACCATGGCAGCCAAGCTGTGCATGGTCAAAGGAGAAGGGAGTGTTGGGCAGCCAGCCTGCTCCCGGCCATGGCTGAGAGGCATGTCCGTCATCAGTCAGCTATTCCCTTGCCTGCCTAGAGGCAGTGGTGTGGTGGAGATGCTGTAAGCACTATGTAGTAGCAGGGATTGTGAGAAGCAGCTACACACTAACCACATCTCTCATTGTGGGACTTTCTGCAGTCATTAACCCTGACCTAAAATCCCTCTTTTAACATCTCTGTTTCCATTTGGGGTTTCAGTGAGAATCCCATGCTGGATCTCCCTCCATAGCCTATGCTCTGCTTTTGACTGCTAAACAGAACTGTCCTTTGCCCTGGTTTGCAAAATCTTTAAAACAGTGTTCATCAGCAAAACTGCTGCTGACATTATAGTCAATTTAGTACATGAATAGCTTCCAGTTAGAAAGTAGTACTAGCTCAAGAAGAGCTGGGCAACAACAGCAAAACAATGACATCTCATAACTTATCAAAAAGGTGATACCTAGCAGTTCCAAGTCAAGAAAATATTAACGATGGACTTAAACAGCATTGGACTAGAGCAGTCGTCTTTAGAAGGGAATGGGAGAGCAGCCTGTGCCTATGGAGAACTGAATTCATATCTTGGGAGCCACTCCTCTAGGGCATTCACCTCCCCAGCACTTCAGCCCATCAAGGAAGCCTTTGGTAAAGAGCTCAGGCACAGAGCAAACAGACATAGATCCAAGTAAGTTTTGGAACAGAAAGTAAGTGTGAGATGAGGATTAGGGTCCCTCTGTCCAAACATGCTCAAGCTGAACAGGCAGAAGTCCTTTCTCTGCAGCTATTTGTCCCTTGAAGTGTGCAGACATCAGATCTTGCCTTCTTATCACTTTTCTCAGCATAAACCAAATTACGTACCAGTCTCAGTAGGACTCAGCATCTACCTCACACTTGATCTTTCTTGGGAACCAGAAACCAGGTGTTCTTTTGCCCAGAGAGATTCTAGCAGGGACACGTGCACAGGGAGACGCCAAGTCTCGCATGACATATTTGGGTCATCGCCATTTAAAGATAGAATGTTAAACTTAAGCAACCCTGTATTTGAGTTTCTCTGTCCAAAAAGCTTTAATGGAGAGATCTATATTGTGACACATGAGGTAACATTGTCTAAGTAACAAGCAACAGACCATGAACAGTCCATGAGAGACCTAGGGGACTGCATGCACTGCAGTCCTTTTGACTAAGCAGTCTCCTGGGTAATTACTGTCTCTTATTGCAAACTGGAAGTGCCACAATGTGGTAGAGAAGGAGCTTCTTGCGAGGTCTCACGTTTTAGGAAATCCTGGGCAGGTTTCGGCACAGTGGTGATACTGAGAATGTACAGTCGTGACTCCTGGCAGCCCACCAGGAGGTCCTGCAGGGCCCGTGCAGGACTCTGCTGGTGATGTACAGACACATAGAGAGAGGGGCCCTGCCTCAACAGCATTTCTTTGGGTGGAAATCAGACAGTTCGAAGGACATGTTCAGTCCTTTGAGCCTGCTGGTGGCCAGGACAAGAATTGGAAGCTCCTGGTCTGTTTTCTACAGCATGGTTTTCCTCTACCCCTGACTGCTGCTAATACCAGTCTAATATTCAGTCTTTAACATGTCAAGACACTGGTTTCTTCACCTCTACTTAGAAGTTGCAGATGAAGTGCATGCTGGCATATATTAATTAACCTCTGCTATTTTTCTTTAGGAAAATGATAAACAGTAAAAATTGATTTATTTTTACTGAAGACTCCTAAAATGTCAGCTGTACGCTAGTGAATGGAGTAAGAATGTAATTAAACATCTGCTCTTTCACTCCTATTAATGAGTGTAAATAGCCAGAAAATTCTGAAGGTTGTGGCCATGGTAACAGACACTAGCTTAGGAAAAAGGAAATATCTGCAGTTATAATTCAACATAAAGATTGCTCATCTCCTTCCCAGAGCTGGAAGTTTACAATCAAAGTCTTGACGTGTGTGCTGGTCCTCTATTATGATTTCTTCCTATGCATGTAGCACATTTGTTGTTAGAAACTACCATTTATAAGAACGTGGTGTGACTCAAGTGCTACATTCAGTCTTACTTGAAGGAAGAAAAACTGCTCTTTTTTGGCAGTGGGCTAGAGCAATTGCTGGTAAATGCTTCTGTGGAAATGATCACATAGCATGATGAAAGGGGCCCATATCTTCCCCTGACATTCAGCTGTCTCCCTCCCTTACACCAGTGAAGTGGTAGCAGCTTATACCAGTAGCTTATACCAGCAGCTTATACCAGCAGCTACAAGCAGCGTTCCTGGAGGATCTTGAAATGCTGAGCCTGGAGACCTCCCTCTCTTGGCCAAGGGAGAACTGACAGAAACTGATGAGATTCCTCAAAAACACCTGCCCTCATCAAACCCTGCTCACTGTCTCCAGTGTCACCACTAACACTGTCCTGCCTGGGGCTGTGGTTTGGGAAGTCCACCACCTTGCATCCCACCAGGCACTGGAGGTACTCTGGCACATACAAGTGGAGAAGGAGGTGGTCATTAGTCAAACGAAGCCCAACAAAATAAAAATCACAGCAGAGAGGCACAGGACAGGCTGAGACAGAGGTGGTGGGGGATACTATAGATTAGCTGCACACAGAGCTGCTAACCAGCTCCAGGAGCTGTGCAGGATGGCTGAAACTGCTTGCACCAAGAGCCAGCAGTGAAGGAAAGGGCTTGTCTGAGCGCAGTGTTTTAATGCACCTGTGTGACAACCATCACCTTAATGCAGATGCTTTTAGCACACCATTTGGAGCATCACACATTTGAGCCTTCATAAATGAAGACAAAACACCAACACAAGGATTTCTTTTTGTCCTGATCAATTATTTAAAATGATGTTAAACTAGCACATACCGAGCGCATTGCTAGAACCTGCAGTGTAAATACTGCCGTTTCAAATGTGAAGACAAGCAAATGCTAGGGAAAGTTTGGAGTAGCTTGCAAACTCCCCCAGCATGGCCAACAGAAATAAAGCTACTGCCACCAGCATTACATGGGCTCCATGCCTGTGGTTTCTGACAATACCATCCTTGCTGTGTGGCCAGATGAGAGATTTAAGTCTGTCAAATTGTGTAAGAAACTCTGGTCCCACTAGCAACGCCAGGCAGCTCAATCACGAGTGAAAATCAATGACCTGTTAAGAGTTGTGATGCCTTGGGAGACACAAAACACCTAACTGCCTTTTGCACAGCTGCCCCATGCACAGGTAGATACCTATTCCCTAGGTCTTGGCCACACTGAGGTAGAGCCATTCCCATCTCTGAAGATGCAAAGACCAACAAGTTCAGAGGTTCCTCTGCTGGTGTCTGAGCTGTCATCCAGCTTGAAACACCCAGCTCTTGGGGCTTCCTTACCAGCTGCAATATCTATCCCTGAATTGCTGCCACAGGAGGCTTGCAGATACAGGGCAATCCCCAGACACCATCCAACCTCATGTGATGCCCAGCACATTCAGCCATCCCTATCCCGAAACATGTACAAAGCCCTGAGGTGTCTGCCCAGCACCACCATGCCACAGGCTACCCAATCCTTCCTCCTTCTGTGCCACCTCTTGCTGCTGAGCTGCAATAGCCTGTGAGAAGCAGCATCTCCTGTGCCATCAGTACTCAGAAGCTGCCCATTTCCAGACCAGTAAGAGATCCAGGGGCTGGGCTGGCAGTGCACACAGCTCATGGGGACAAAAGGGTAGTCAGGGACTGCTGCAGAAGTGGGGAGGATGGGGTGAGAGGAGGGAGGAGGGAGGTCTTCTGATGCAGAACAGCACTCCTCCTTATTTTCCTCAAAGGGCTTCTCCAAGTCCTGCTCTGTATGACCTTTTACATGAGTTGCAAAGAGTGACAGCAGATGCTGGTACCCAGAGGGAGGGAAGTTTTAGTGCTGCTCTATTTCCTTCCCCAGAAGATTTGCTTTTGGAGGAGGTTGGAGGCATGGGCCAGCTACCTGAGGGAGGGCTTTCTTGCCTGCTCCTCTGAAGTGTTGGAAATTGAATGGAATGGAGTGTGCCATGAAGCCACGTTTCACTGGAGCTTTTACCTTTTAAAATTAGGTTAGCAAATTTATTGCTACAGTAGCTTAATCCCAGAATGCATTATCTGTACCCATGATGGACTAGAATATGAACTAATTCTGTCAATAATGTGACTGCCTGTATCTCAATTGCCATATACAAGGAATTCAGTCTTCCCTTTGAGGTGCTAAGCAGCTGCACGCTGGTCCAGTGCCCTCCCTATGCTTGTGGTTCAGAGGCTTCCTACTTCGAAGTTTTCTCACCAACAGATGATGTTCTGGGAAAGCAGAAGAGGAGAGAGGGAGAAATTTGGATCCAGGCACCTGGCTGCACACTATGACTTTGCACTAGTGCAGTGGTTTGCGGTCTGCAGCTCCCAGGGACATCTCTGACTGACACCATGATCTCTGTATGTGTTGGGGATCCAAATGCCTGGCTCTGCGCATCTTCAGCCTGTGTCCTCTATTGACAGGAGAGGCAAAGACCAGCAGAAGTGTTCTCCCTGCTGGGTTCACATCAGCAGGGAGTTTCCTTGGTGGAAGGGGTCCACTTCTGGAAATTCACAGCCAGAGCCCCCAGTGTTGCTGGAACAGAGCAAGGGGGCTGGACTGGGTCAGAGCACGTGTGCAGGTACACACTCAATGCTTTGAATATAGAAACAACATTTTTCAAGTTACTTCCTTCAACAGCAGCTCAGGAGGTGATCCTTTTCATATCAAATTATCACATTACTTGCTTGCAGAAAGTAGGGGCATCAAACTACTTACTCAGAAACCTAAATTTTGCTGTCCCCAGCAATATTGACTGTGGAAATCTAGTCAATGCTATCTCTGGAGTCTAGAAAGCAACTGAGCAAACTGCAGTTCTTGGGCTGAT